GACAATTATAAACCTGTCTAGGTATGGTCTACAGACCCTATTCATCAAATCCATGAATACAGCGGGTGCGTTCGTTAGTCCAAAAGGCATGACTAAGAATTCATAATGTCCATAACGGGTTCTAAACGCTGTCTTGTGAATGTCCTCTTCGTGAATTCTTAGCTGATGATACCCTGACCGAAGGTCGATTTTTGAGAAGTAGGAAGCGCCCTGCAACTGATCGAACAAGTCATCTATTCTAGGGAGGGGATATCGATTCTTGATTGTCAACTTGTTCAATTCTCTGTAATCAATGCACATTCGGAACGAACCATCTTTCTTTTTGACGAATAACACTGGGGCTCCCCAAGGTGAAGAACTTGGTCGAATAAACCCTTTGTCTAGAAGTTCTTGAAGTTGTCCGGATAGTTCTTGCATCTCGGATGGTGCAAGGCGATATGGTGCTTTTGCTACCGGTGCCGCTCCGGGAACTAAGTCTATCCGAAATTCGACCTGTCTATAAGGGGGTAGACCGGGCAATTCCTCCGGAAATACTTCGGGATAGTTTTGAACCACTGGAATCTCCTTGAGTTGCTTAGCTTCAGGTTCTCTTTCTAGCACGTGGGCCATGAATGCAATACAATTCTTCTTCAGGTACTTGTGAACCTTCACGCTTGATACTATGTTTAAACTTCTTCCTGGCTTCTCACCGTGTATGATAAGGGTTTCTCCATTAGGGAGAGGCACTCTGATGACTTTCTCATAACAACCAATGTCTGCTCTATTTTTGGATAACCAATCCATCCCTACTATCACATCAAAACTACCTAGCTCTATAGGAATTAGGTCAATGCTAAAGAGTTTATCAGCTAAATTCAGAGTACAACCAGGAATTATATCACTAGCCCTAATTTCATACCCATCAGCAAGTTCAATAGCATAGCATTCCTCATCTTTACCGATTTCAAGCCAATTAACGGTCTAAATGCTAAAGAAACAAAACTCCTATCTGCTCCCGCATCGAATATTACTGATGCAAATGGTTGTTCAGGAGGAACGTACCTGTTATCACTTCAGGGTTCTGACGAGCTTCTTCTGCACCAATCACAAAGGCTACACCTCTTGGTTGTCAACTTGATTTCCTTGAAAGTTTTGCCTGGCTTGGCCTTGTCCATTGTTACCAGGTCCATTGTTCAGTTTAGGACATGCTCTACGGAGATGATCAATACTCCCGCACTCGTAACATGTCCTTTTTCCCTCCTTATTCACCTTACAATACTTCGAGTAATGGCCTGTTTGCTTACAGTTTTGGCACACCGGGCAAGCTCCCTTGTGATGGAAGTTACACTTATTGCACTTCGGAAGCGGCCCTGAGTACTGCTGAGTACTGCTTTTGCCCTGCACTTCTTGTCCTTGAGTTTTCACTGGTTCTTGCTCCTGGGCTCTTAACATAAATTTTCTTGAGACTTTCTACTTCCTCCCTGACTTGCCTCCATACTTCTTCTCTCCCTGATCTGCTGGCTTCCTCTTGCTACTAGAGCTTTCCTTTGTCAATGCTCCCATCCTTATCACATCACAATCAGGAACAGCCCACCAAACACATAATATGCTGTCATCGCATGACCTGCCTCTCGTCTAGCAGCACTAGCAGTGTCAGCAGTCTCCATCGAATGCTGATACAGGATTTCCATTCCTGCCAAGACTTCATCCAAAACTTCTCGATGCCCAGCTATCGCAGCGAGACTGTGACGTAGGCCGCTGCTATCGACTGCAATCTCCGGGACTCCTCCGGGGTCATACCTGGCTGTCGGACAGGTATCCTATGACTTGCTGAGGTGAGGATGCTCTTGGTCCTGCATCGCTGGGTCCTACCCCGCTAGGTCCTGCCGTGCCATGTCCTGCTGTGCTGGCGGGTATCCTTCCTGGAATGGGGACACTCTTCCTCGCTGTCCTCCGAATGCGAAGTCCATAGAGCGGTGGCTGTGGCAACACCGATGTCGGTGATGCCTCGCGTCGTTGACTCGGGCGTTGTCATTGCTGATCTCCACCGAGTTCCCAGTATCTTCCGTATCCTCTGATGGGTCTTCTTCTATCGAGGCGGGGGGATTACGTCGAGGGATAACAGTGACGTAGCCGGATTCATCGGCTGAGGCGGTAGCGCGGGAAGATGACGATCTTGACATAGTGGACTGTGACATAGTTTCAATGAGATATGAAATAAATGACAATGCATGCCTATAATATGCAATGCTTACACACACCAAAATTAACCTTTTGAAATTTTTAAATAAGGTTTTCTCAAATATTTTTGTTGAACATATTCCCATTATAATTAGCTCAAGCTTTGTATAAATCTTTTCTTAATTAAACATAGGTGATCAGGCTATGTTTAATCAAGGTCCAATAATACAACTCCCAACCTAATTATACTTGTAATATGTTTGATGTAAAAGGAATTTCTTTGTAAGTTTTAGTTATAGGTTGTGTTTTCTTAAAGAAAAACCGATGTTCTCTATAACTTTAGCTCTGATACCACTTCTGTCACACCCCGCTAAAGCGGAAACGCAAGGTATGACAGCGATAACGGTTTCATTGCAAAAGATAAAGATACATCACCATAGCAGTATTTAAAAGTTTACAACCCATAGCTTCAAAAGAACAAAATACAAGTTTTTCAAAATAACATTGTTCAAAATATAGCTTCATAATAGCTTCAACACGATGCAGCATGCTCTATGATGATGAATCTTTACATCCACTTACTAATTATTTCCTGAAAAAGCATGTAAAACGAGCGTCAACTATGAAAATAGTTGGTGAGTATCACAAGTTTATAAAATCGAGCGTACAATAAGGCTTTTCGTAAATACAAGTACATTGCTTCAATGATAAACAAGTTGATTGCTATTAATGAATACAAGTTTATTGCTATAACGAGAAACGAGTTTGTATGTGTATGAGCAAACAATGAGTCTCAACCAAACCTATGACTGAAGCCCTATCGAGATCTATGCTTATCGTTCCATAGATGAATATGGTATCATGCACTCCAGCGATTCGGGCGAGTGAGGAGTTGTCAATTCCTAATAGCGCTATCCATAACGACCATTGGCTCAAAGAGTTAATGGTTAGAGATAAGGGAAGGGCCTTTGTACGATAAGTTCTCATGTTCCGTGTTGCATAGACATACATAAAGAAACATAGCAATACAATAGCAATCATGTTTGATACAATTCAATTTAAGTACAACATGCAAACAATAGTTTTTCTGGACATGCTTTTCCACCCCAAAACATAAAACGAAAATAGGGGAGTGCGTGAATACTCACGATGTTTTGTGTAGACACAAGCGGTACTTCGGGATGCACCAACGTCTTACTACCGGGATCCTACGACACCAAACACACGCACTAGTGAGTTTCCATGTCGATATCTAATGCTAATATACTAAACTCTACATATAGGGAAATGCCAATTTATGTTTTAGTATTGGATTTATATCATTTTGTTACACTTTTTCTGATGTATTGAAATTTTACAAGTCGTGCGATTAATTACAACCTTGGAAGGTTAATTTTCCAAATTTTAAGTCTCAATAACAACATAAATTCACGAAAAATAGTATTCGAGGGATAAAAATTCTCAAACTTTTTATTTAACTGTTAATACACAATACTAAGCTGGGAAAATTATAAAAATGGATTTCCAAGCTGTTTAATTATATTTTATAATTTTTGAGCATTTATTTCAATAAAAATTGAAATAAATAGTAAACAGTTTCCAAAATTACCCAAACTTTTTATTTAATTGTTATTATACATAAATAGGCTGGGAAAAATATAAAATATATTTTTCAGTGGTTATTTGTATTTTTCCTTGTTTTATTCCTTTAAATAGTCATTAATTAAAGAAATATTATTAAACAGTTAAAATAAATTACCATAAATTTTTGTAACATCATTTACAGTATAAATATCTTGGGAAAAATATCAAAAGTGGTTTTCATAATGTATAAACTGGTTTTGGGTATTTATGTATATTTAAGTGAATTTTAGTGCAATTAACTTTAGAAAATAAGGGAAAAATAGTTTACAGTGGAGAAAAATATTCAAAATTTTTATGTAACCTCCTACTATATAATATGATATCCTGGCAAATTTTCATGAATTTTGGATAATCAGAACTATTTTTCCCATTTTTAAGCCATTATAATTACCAAAAATTGGGAAAAATAGCTAGACATGATGAAAAATCTTGAAATTATTTTCTTGAGTCACCCATCACAAGTAAGGTATGCGAAAATTGTTAGATACAATTTTCACATCCTAAAAAGTGGTTTTGTAATTTATCATGTCCTAAATAAAAGAAAATTAGAAATCATATGAAACAGTAACAAAAATTGCTGAAATTTGGTGAGGGGTCATTATTCCCCATAAGTATCATCCATGAATTTATTTAGGATTTATTGACCTCTGGAAGTATTTTATATGATTTATGCCCTTGGTTTTAGCAATAATTCTAATAAATCAAATAAATAACAAAAGCTCTTGAAATTTTCCAGATTATCTCATGCATGCAAGGGCTTTCAAAAGTAAAAATGTTAAGAATGTATTCAGAAGAGAAATGAGGGTAATGATTCCAAACAATTTAAGAAAAGTTGCATGCAATAATGCATGAAGTGTAGATGTGGCTGAGGTTCATGAATTTTTGTAGCCCATTCAGTGAGGTTTTAAGCCACGAAATTTCAACCATAACTCACTAGATATGTTAAGTTTCTAA